ATATATATATATATATATATATATATATATATATATATATATATATATATATATATATATATATATATATATATATATATATATATATATTGAGATATGTAATAAGGGGATGTTTATATGGGGGCAAGCCTGGATGCCTGGGCTTGGGGGCTACAGTAGCTCACTTTTCCTGAGGCGAATTTTGGCCCAGATTTAGCAAGATCTTGGGCTAAAGGCCAGGGGCGGGATCTCGCTTAGGTGGGCCTGCTCTTTACCCATATATACACAAGGTGAACTTTAATACGAAATAACAAAAAAGGCAGGATCTCGCCAAAACTGGCCCAGCTTGAGTACCCAGGGCTGGCTTACACCATATAAACAGCTCTTATGGAACCTTTGAGATTTTGTGTGTAAATGAATAAAATGACACCTTACAGTGGGTTGAGGGTGGGTGTTTCTCTCAACATTGTGGGAACCAATAATATTTTATTAAAAAAATTAGAATAATCACATATTAAACTCTGTTAGTAGTATATATTGTATTGTGTGTGATTAAAATATGGTTAATTTTTTTTACCCCACCTCTGCATGCAAGGATTTTTTGGCCACCCCACCTAAAGCAAGTTTTATTTTTCAGTTACCCCACCATTTTCTCTTCGGCCCCCACCCCTGCCATCAATAATGACCGGTCCCTAAGGTTTGATAAGTGCGAAACCTATGAAAACATTCTGTTAACGTTTTCTTATTTCGTAGGACTTGGGACATGGTCCATTTTCTCATGTGTTTGATACAAGAGTGAAAACAAAATTGATTGAGTATCATGAAAGAGAAAAAAAGATTTTGGAAAATCAGTTATGTGAAGATGCTAATAAGAATGAGGATTACCTCTACCACCAAAAACAAGCAGAAAAATTGGAAAATTGGAAGCATGAAGTTGCATCTTGTGCCATGTTTGATTACATCTTGAAAACCACCGATGGCCTAAAAGATGCTTTTGAGAAGAGAAATCTTGGCGAGAAAGAGCAAAAACTTATCAAAGATCTAATTAAAGGTAAAAACCCGGATGAAGATGACATCACGGAAATCCCTACAGTTTATGAAAAACCGAAATGGTTTCTGTTCGAAATTGTCGCCAATAAAATATTCGAAGTTGATTGTGATAAGTTCGATTATTTTGCCCGTGATTGTCACAACCTGGGAATGAAGAGCAATTTCGATCATCTTCGCTACATCAACAATATTCAAATAAAGTTGGTACCAAAAGACGACGGGCTACACTTGTGTCCACGCGATAAGCTTGCTTATAATATATACGAGCTTTTCCACACTCGATGGTCATTACATCATCGCGCTTATCAACACAAAACCACGAAAGCCATAGAGGAAATGATTACAGATGCTCTCATTTTGTTGGAAGAGAAATACAAGTTTTCCGAGGCAATATTTGATATGGAGAAATATACCAAGCTCACCGATAGCATATTTTACGAAATCTTGCGCAGCAATGATACGGATGAGAAGACCGAGAAAGCTAAAAAAATTCTCGAAAGGATCCAGCAGCGAAATTTGTATAAGTTTTATGGCGAGTTTCAACCTGCCAAAAAATTGGAAATCGACGATTTGGAGTCTGCTGCAGAGGAAATAGAGTCATTATCCGGAGGCCGTGTAAAGGCGAAGGAATTAGTTGTCACCACTGTTAATATTAATTTTGGCAAAAAAAATGAAGACCCCGTGAAATCTGTTGTATTTTGCGAAAAAGACGGCGATATTGTTAAGAAGTCTGGGGATGACGTGAGCAGAATGCTTCCACAGACATTCTCCGAGCAATACGTTCGCCTCTACGGAAAGGATCCCGCAACAGACATCAACAAAAAAGAGATTGCTGAGAAATGTTTTAAAAAGTGGAGCGAGGATAAACCCAACTCAGACCATCGCCTTGTAGTTGTCGTATCAATATTGCTTGGAGGAGCAGCACTATTGAAATACTTAAAATAACTAAATAATTAACAGTTATCGAAAGCTCATATTCGACGAGAGTGACTGAGTGGAATGACTGTTTCATTATATACACAAGGTCTGAATTCACTGCTTTCGGATATTTTCAATATTTTTCTATTTTTTTATGTTTTTATCTTCGCTCTTTCGGCCGATTATTTTTTAAAAATATATATTTTTAACCATTTTAAATTTTAAAAATTCATTTGCTAACCTGTAAACAGTTTGTGGGAGAGTTTTCATTGTGTTTTTAATCCTTTAAAGGCTATAAAAAGCGAACAACCTTCCGTTTTATTGTTTGCAAACGTCGGAAATTCAATTTGAGCCGCCATTTGTTTTCTCTACTAGCAGGATATGAGCTAATTTCCTGCTAGTAGAGAACCAATCAAATTGCAGAATACCTTATATCCAGACGTTGTGTATATAATAAGTTCAATTATCCTCCATTTGCTTTTCTCTTTCAAACCAATGGTTATACAGCTATAGTGCTAGTAGTACCAATGCATCTGCATGTTTTTTAATGATATTTGCCAACACAATTTGTCGGTCCAGAATGGTCTTTTCATTTACACAGTTTCTTTTCAGTATAATTTCGACGTTGATATTAAGAAACTATTATGGGAAATCAGAGTTATTGTGCGTACAGCAAACACATGCTTCGTTATGAGTCTTTGCATTCCTGCAGTTTTATGAAGTTTATTTAGGCTACTCCTATTTTCAGTTACAATTTTTCAAAAATAGAATGTTAGTTAATTTAACAGAAAAGTTACAATTTCCTAAAACATAGTTGTAGTTTATAGTTTCACATTTTCAACGTTTTTACAGAATTAAAAGGTAAATCTAGTTATTTTACGCATATTCGTAAATGTCAAGCATTCAAATGCAAAAAATATGATAAAAAGAAAATAAAAAAGCGAGGAGGATAATTTAGTTGTTTTGGTCGTTTAATAATCTAATCTCTTAATCGGAATAGAAGAACGAGCCCGAACATTAAATATTTGGGTGGTGTATATGGATGGTGTCCTCAGGTGGGAATATGAAAAAAAATTGCGTTGTAAGTCTTCCACAAGACATTCAAATGAACAGCGTATACAGAACAATAAAGTACGAGTTAGTGATGATCGAGCATCACTATTCAGTAAATTAATTCTGACATTTCGTCTCTAAATTAAATACTAACATGTAAATATATAAATGTTGTCGTTTTATCTTAATGAACAGTTCTTATCGTAACAAAGCAATGTTATTAAATTACCAAGGTAAAGGGAATTCATCAATTGACAAATTTAAGCAAAATGAAAAGCTGTTGAAACTAATTGATATAGCCTACTGAAGATAAAAATGGTGACCTCTTGAATTAAAATTTCTTATGAATTTGTGTCAATATATATAGTCAGGAAGTTGATGAACTTAGAAGTAAAGAATCACTAGGAAAACTCAGACCTTAACAAATAATTTTTATTCAAATAAGGGCATAAGGCTGATTATATAACTTCAGCTGGAGTAACAAAAATAACAATTAGTGATCACTATTTAGTATATTGTTAAACGACCTTTTGTTCAATAAACCCCGAGCCAGGCGCGGAGCGTATATGAGCCCGTGGCAAGGGTACTAATTCCGCTCGGCCATTTACACCCGGGGAAAGGAAAGCATTAGTGAAGTGTAATGAAATTCATCAATAACCGCGGGCGCATGGCTATATGCATACATGTGTGGTCATCTCACTGAAAAATATAGTTGTTTACCAGGAGTGAAGGAAGCAAAGCTGGCCTCTGTAGCTCAGTTGGTTAGAGCGCTGCACCGGAATCGCAGGGCCGTAGGTTCAATTCCTACCAGAGGACCTTGTGCTGCATTTTTCGCAGTCGTTCCTGGTCAGGTCTTAAAATGTATATAATCACTTGGATTACAAACTCTAACATTCTAATAAAGATTAGAAAAACATGCATGACAGAAAGCTTGGATATGTTTTCACACAATAAGTTGAAAATCACCTTTTTCAAATTTTAAATTAAATTAAAGAAAAGATAAGAATAAGAAATCCTGAAGAATAAAAAATCCTATAAGTTTAATTTACTGCTTATGTATGACTTTGCTGTCCAATTTTCGCCTGAAGGCTTTGAACATGTACAGATTTCCTTTTCATTCACTTGTCTTAGTTTTTTTATAAAAGCTCAAGAAAAGGAGAAAATTATTTGCAAGAGCGACCTGTGTGATTTAAATTTATTTCATTTCATTTCAAAGTACGAGAAATAAGTTGAAGAACTTATCGGCAAAAAGTCGATCATATATCAGAGAAAAGGAAACCGTTGCTCGTGATATTTGAAAAATGTGCCAAATTGCACTCGCCTCGGCGGCTCGTGCAATTTTGGCACATTTTTCAAATATCACTCGTAGTGTTAATCATTAATTGTACTCCTAATTCCCGTGTGATTACCTCTCCATAATTACTGACGGTCATAATAACCTATTGTTTTCTCTCTGCATTATATCAGCGAATGTCGAGAAGTTTTAGCGTTCTTCTGAAAAACGGGAGCGGTCTTTTTTGATTGTAGGGAAATTCCCAGGGGTAAATGTTTATACGGGCTAAAATAGCACACAGCATTGTTAAAAATAATGCAGCGTGCACACAGCATTATTAAAAATAATGCAGCGTGCACACAGCATTATTAAAAATAATGCAGCGTGCACACTGCATTATTAAAAATAATGCAGCGTGTATTAGTACACACAGACATTATTCGCAATCCTTCGTCATCCTGACAAGTACACGCGATAACGTGAACATCTCAAGATGGGAACTGAAGTTGACAGTGCTAAAGGCCCCTCATACAATATCATCGGGCGCCTGAAGAGAAATAATAATAATTTAAATAAAAAAAATAAAATTAAATAATAAAAAAATAATAATAATAATAATAATAATAATAATAATAATTAAATAATAATTTATAGAGAAATAGTTTCGTTTGCGCTTGTGGGATTTTATCCTAGATATACGCATGTGCAGAACACACCATAAGTTCTATTCCCGTGTTTATCCAGTTTAATACGCTCTTTGAATTAACCTTATCATTAATGCATGTTAATATGTAAACTAGAACACTATAATTGACCTCCGCTTGTGGAGATTTTAATTTAGGGCGATTAATTAAACTGAAATCTGTTCTATCACGATGCATTACATGCCTGTCCTCACAAATGTCTAGTGTAACGTTGGATAGATTCATTGTCATACGGTCCCAGCAAGCAGCAACGTAGTCTTCCAGCCGAAAATAATTACTTTTGATTCGGGTCAGTAATTATAATAGATAATTACTTCGGCCAAACGGCATTATTCGATATATTGCAGCCAGCTTCGGCCTTCGGCCTCAGCTGGCTGCAATATATCGAATAATGCCGTTGGCCTCAGTAATTATTTATTAATTAGTTCCTTTATATCTGCTTTAATTTAAAAGTTGACGTTGCGTATATTTTAAATGAAAAAAGTGAGCATATAATTTCAGTGTATATTTATTGATTACCCTTTTTTCTTATATTAATTTTTTTTAAATAAAAAGCAAACAACGTTTTTTGCATGAGCTAGAATTTGAAATTTATTTCAAACTCAAAGTTATCGGTCAAGGCAATTTAGTTTTATAAAGAACATTTTGAGACGTTTTGTGGTTCATTTTTACATTAAAATGAAGCTTATATTACGTATAATAACATACCTAACATATATATGTTTGGAAAATTGATAATTTTGTAATTAATAGCGATATTTAAATGGTTTTTAATAAAAATATCGTGTTTCCATGGCAACTAGTGTAAACACTTCATGTTCGGAAAATACAATGTTTTTTCAGCAAGGCGAGGGTTTCTGCATGCATGTTATTTTCCAGTATATATAGCCTTGTATAGTTT